CCCAGTCATATTTTGTATGGTTATCAAATTGACATTACATGTAGTAATTCGAACTAATAGTTTAAGGCAATTTAGGAATTTAGAACTTAAAAGGCTAAATTAAAAGGCTAATTATAATATATAGGCTAAATTAGGCTAAATTATTAAATAAGTTAAACTAATTTAGGACTACTAGAATCTAAAAAATTTATAATAAAATTTAAAAATAAAATAATTTGGGCTCGGGCTAAGTAATTTAGCCTGAATCACTAATTACATGCATTACTATCACATGTATTATCTGTTTTTATAATTATCTTTGTATATAAACTATCTAGCTGATAATTTTTAGTAAATATTATATTCCTTTTTAGAAAAATTCTTTATTAAACTCTTTCTTATTTATGTGTTTAGCTAATTAATTATGTTATCAAGCTGATAATTTTCAGTTGATAATTTTTAGTTAATAATTTTTAATGAATACTTTCTTGTGAATAATTTTATTGTTTTTATTTTTGTAAGTCTATAATATGAAATATATAATTAGTTTAATCAAAGAATTATTATAAAAAAGAGCTTTTCTTAAGTAGAATAAGTTTATGTTCTAATTTAATAAAAGTGTCAACTTGTAAATGCACTTGTTAAGAAATTTTTTGCTTGATTAACTTTAAAGCTTGTGTACAAATAATAGAAGAACTCTATTATAAATATGTTATACCTTAATTATATTATTTTATTGATTGTATTAAAATTTCAACTCTTTTGTTTTAAGTGCTTTTGATATTTATAATTATTTGATTTCAGTTTTATAGATCATATTAATAAATTCTACTTGTTATTTTAAAAATTAGTTAATATTTATCTGAAAACATCTTTATTCAGAGATATTTATCACAGAAGATCTTTAGAATCTTTAGAGAATTCCTCTTTAATTTATTCAGTCTATCTTACAAATAGTATATTATTATTTTTTTACTAGTTAAACAAACTTTTGAAAAGATATAACATTTTGATATCTTCTCTGTGAATTTTATGATCTCACTTTTTTTTTCAAAATTCAAAGCCTCTTAGTATCAATAACTCAAAAATAATATTCTGAATATATAAATGAATACTATATTATACTTTTACTGAATACTTACAAATAAATATTTTGAAAGTTATCAAGATTAAGGACAAAAAGCTATTGAATCTTATTGTAATTATTGTTATTCTTTCTTCAAAACATATAATTGATATTTTATTAATCTTTAATTTGAATTAAAATATTAAGTATTTGTAGTTATATAGCAATTACTTATTAATTATTTCAAGAATTAGAAGGAATCAATTTCAAAAAAGCACATTTGATATAAATATAACAAAGAATAGTTTGATTATTTAATATTATTTTATTTTAAGAATATTTATTAATATTAAAGCCAAACTGAATTGTTATTATAATATTATATCAATTTGTTAATACAAGTGAATTTAAAAATATCATGTTTGAATTAGAAAAATAAGAAGATGAATATATTAAAGAATATTATTCTGAAACTTGAGAATCAAGTAAAGAAGAGAATCAACTAATAAATTATAATTTTGTTGAGAAATAAGAGACATTTCTTCATAATATCAAACAAGAACACCAATATTTAAAAATCTATTAATAGTAAAAACACTTATATTAACTTTAATGCCTATATCAGAACCAGAAAAAATAACAGATATCAATATTATTCTAGCTGTGGTGAATGATTTGATCCATGCACTTAATGTGCAGAATGAGAAAGATAATTATTATCATCAAAAAGTTTCATAAAGCTGATCAGGATCCAGTAACTTGGTTACAGAACTTCGAAATAACAGCTACAGTCAACGAACTCATTAATACAAGAAAAATCCAGGTAATTCTCGATTTTTTTAGAAGAAACTGCTGTCTTATAGTTCAATGAGTGAGCAACAGATAATGCATTGAATTTAATTGATTGAACTAATCAAGCATGTTTAATTTAGGACTGAACAAAAAGGAAATCATTGGAAGTATAAATTAGAAGAACTCCAACAAACTGGAACCATCAACGAGTACACTGACAAATTCTATGAGTTGTCATGAAAGAAAAATCCAGATAATTATATTCATGTTGATAACTGGATTAGAATATATCACTGAGAATTCAAACAAGAATTGAAAAAATGGGTGAAAATAAATGTTGACGAAACTTTACTAAATTCATTTAAAGTCAAGTTGGATACCAATATCTGTATCTATCATCAATTTCATAATAACACCAAGGAGTCAATGAATGAGTTAATGAATACAATTTGAAGTCTGACCCATAAATTAGAACAATTAGAAATTATTTCAAAATCACAATATTTGGTACAGAATAATAGTAATGGATGGAATCAATCAAATAATGGATGAACGATTGTATGTTGTAATTGCAATAAAGATGAATACATTAGTATAAATTGCACACAATCATAAATATTTAATAATATCAAATGAAACAATATCACTTACCCATGAAAATAATGAGAATCGAATTCACTCGCAAACAATAGATGTTCAAATTTGAATAACTGATCAGTTAATAATGGATCATTAACTATTAATAATGAAAATACTATAGTGAGTCGTGATATATGCCCCAAATCTATTGTACCAATTTTGAATAGATTATTCTTTTTCAAAAAAATAAAATTAGTACAATATTGAAGCATGATATCTTATGACCCACCGAACAAATTCTGAATACCACCATTCAATTCACCAAGACTAGTCGAGTCAGATGGTGTTGGGTCATGAAATATTGCATCCATTTTAATTTTGAACAGAAAAACAAAAAAATTGGTACAGTAACTTTGGAATGCGATATCTCGTGACCCACAAAACTAATCCCCGTAATAATGCCATATTCAATTCGCGGATTAAATGATACCATTTTCTCCAGAATTAGTTTAGTGGATATCGCGTTCCAAATTACTGTACTGATTTTTGGATTTTCTCCAAAAATTTGATGATAAAGCTGAAAATTTTTTGGAGTCCACAAATAGGAAATTTGCTAGATTGAAATTTTTTATAGTTTTATTAGGCTTAAGCACACTGTACCGATTTGCCACTAACAATTACTAGCAATGAGAACCAAGTAATTTTTCTCTAATGAAATGAACTTTCTAAAATTTCCGCAACCTCACTTAAGCATATACAAGACTGGAAGTATCGAAAAACCTAATGTGAAAATATTGATAAATTTTCCTTTAATACATTTGAGGATGGTGTTTACCTTGCATACACCATCTACAAACGAAGTGAATCTTCGGATGAATCCCATCATAAACTAAGAATTTAGCTCGTTCAATTCTCCTTAGATGAATAGGTCTAGTAACATAAAAAGTGTCCATATTCAAATAGTCTGGACTAGGGATAGGAATCGGTTTCAAAATCGATTAATCATTTCGATTACGTTTTAAAAATAAATTCGATTAATCAATTTAATTTGAGGAATCGATTCTTAACCCAAAATCGATTTTCAAATTTTAATCGATTCTTAAATCTTAGTCGATTTCCAAATTTTAATCGATTCCTATCCCTACGACCAAGATTAGATCGCCCTCTAGCATATGCACCCTCTGCTGATTTCAAATGCCACTCAAATGCATTTTCCCTCATCTTTTATGGTTCCTATATCATTTTGATAACACCAACTAAGATTAGATTGTTCTTTAGGGATTCACCTTTTGCTAATTTTTAATACCACTAAAATGCTTCTTTTTCATCTTTTTGAGTTTCAATACCTTCATCATGATAATACCCGATATTAAATTGTCTAGCGTCTTCGCTTTTTGCTGATTTCAATACCATTCAAATGCTTTCTTAACTTTTGAGTTCCTGTACCATCTTGATAACAGAAACCAATAATAAATTGTATTCGATTATCCCGTTTTCAGCTAATTTCAAATGCCAATCAAATATTTCACTGTCATTTTTTATATTGTTTTTTTCAAATTGTTGATAATAATCTAAAGAATAACTCTTCATAGAGTACACTAGTCGAACAGAGTAGGTTTCACCTTGGGTAAAAACCAGGCTGAATAATACTAAAAAATTACAAACTTACAATTTTGCCCAAAGTAAAAATGTGGGTTATTTTTTTCAAAAAGTTGCATTTCCTACTATACTTTTACCCATATTTTATACTAGATATACAAATTGTGCTAACCAATCGAAAACAATAAATCCACGTGGCGTGCAATTTTGGGTATAATTTTGACCTAGGCGTATACCTATCGACCGTGTAAAGGCCAGATTGCAGTGTAACAATAACAAACCTAACCATAACAAATGTAACCTAATACGTATTATCGTTATCGTTAAGGAAAGAATGAAAGACATTCGATTCTTTGCAATTAGTTGTTGCTTTTTGACATTTTTTTATTTGGTTCGCAGATAAAAAACTAGTCTTCCCTCTGGTAATGAAGTTTTTATTTTATGCGTGTTCAGTAGTCAATCTTACTGATGCATTCGTTCTTCCTTTATCGAAATTATAAAGTTATAAAGCTCAAGGAATTTTTAGTGAGTCTCACGTACTATGGAAGGCTTGTCAATTACGCGGAGTTGTTGACTGTGTCTGGAAGCTCTAATCTTAAAGGTAAATTGTTTTTCTTGTATTTCGAGGCAGAAGAATGGTCGAACAATTTGGTATGGTTTTTTAATTTTTGAAATCTGTATACTGTATATAATTGAGAAAGGTAAAATAAACATAATTTGCATTTCTTCACTAAGATCTTTTGGCTTGAAAGAGGTTTGTATGAGCTTCCAAAAATTTGCAATTTTAAATTGATTTTGTTGTTTAAGTTATTATAATAACAACAGGTCCTGGATGGTAATATTTGTTAAATTATCTGATATGTAATACTTTTGTTGTTGTTCTAATTTGCTTAATTTCTAGCGCTACAACATTCAATATTTTCACTGAGCACGGTCCTTTGCTCGATACAAAAATTCATAAATAATTCGTATAGCTGGCATCAAGATGCTCGCGTCGTCTACAGTAAATGAAAAGCGAAAATTTAGCGGAATAAATGTTACGTACTTCTTCACATTGCTTCTCTTTGGATTCGCATATATAGTCGACCAAGTATGTGACAAACTTCCTTTGTATTCGATATTTCTAAAATTTGTGTATTCTTAAAAACCTTTCCTTTAAATTCGTTAAATCACAGCTTTTCGGAGTCGGGTTTTCTCGAAATCCAGGACAAACTAAAGTCGAAAATGAAAACCAAGTAATAATCCGTCATATAACTTCTTTCATGAACATTTATTGTATGCTTTAGCTCTAATTGGTCAAACCCCAATGATAGGTCGGTGACTATTCTATAAATTTCTCTTAAACTTTTCAAAGTCTTTCCTTAATTGCAAGAAAAAGGGATTATCTCGGTGGAGAAAGGTTAGTTAAATCAGTCGTTAAATCAATTGGTGCTTCTTTTAATAGTTTCTTATTTCATTTCAAACTGTAGTTATGCCGGCTTTTATGTTCCTTGTATCGCGAAATCCATTCCTGACCACAGTGAAAACAGTCCATCATTCGACAATGCATGAATGCTTAATTTTCAATACTGATAATAAATTTTTTTGGGTGAATATCTAACAATTCGATTTACTTGTTTTAAGTCAAAAGGAATATTTATCAATGATCCAGCGATAGAACAATACTGGCGTTAAATCCCATCTTCTTCACTTGCCTATTTTACCGAACAATATCTGTTGAATTCTACAACTCAAGTACGATTGTTATATGCTTAACCTCTCAAACACACGCATCCTTTACTTCATTTTACCTTTATGTATTTATTTGGTATCATTATATTTTTGAATATAGGCAAAGCATCAACAACAATATAATAAATGTTTGTCATTCTACCAATTCTACCAATCCAAAAGTCTTCTGAAGTAGCTGGAACAGATTATTACAATGACATAACTTCTCCGGGCGAGTGTGATATTCAAAATATCGGATATTCGAGCATTCGGAAAATGTCGAATCCGTAATTATTTGAAATCAATCTTGCTTGTTTTTTTACCGTTGAAAAAATGATTAAAACTTATTTGAATATACACTCATGGCCAATAAAAAGTGTCGACATATCAAAAAATGTCGTTATAGCTACATGTACTTAATTATCGTTATCTCGACGTAAATATAATTTACCAATATCAACAACATTATCTGTGACAGAGCAATCTAACTACAAATGGTTTCTTTATACATATTGTTACGTTCCCTTTAATATTTAGCTAAAAGGGTTTATTTTGCGACGAATGGGTTGGGGCACCAGATTGTTATGTCTATTATAACAATCGATCGATCAGAGATTTTTCGCAACGGGGATGTGAGCTAGATTAATTATCTACGGTCAAAGGGGCTCTTTGGGTGTTCCAAAGGTTTCCCGTGACGACTTGTACACAAATCGACTTTTACTCAACCAACAGAAGGGGGAGGGGAAAGTGTTTGAAAGATTAGATCACTCTTGTAACAAAAACTCAATTCGGTATAATAAATATTTATTTAATAATAATAATCAATACAAATATGGCAGGACTTATGTTACTTCGGTAACAATCTACGTACAAATCTGGTTCCAGAAACCAAACTTGCTTAGATAAGTTGTATCAGGAACACCTCAATAAATTGAATATTTTAAAATTTCTACCACTTCAGCTTAATTATACATTTTGTAATTAAACATGCCCAAAATTATCAACAATTTAGTGATCAGAGAAATAGAAAATATAGATGTGCTGCGTCTCCATCAATGATCAAATGGGACGGATTTTAACATTGTCATCTTCATCCATTCCAGATGCATTAAATATAAATAAAAAAAGAAGGAACAATCAAAGATGGGCAAAAAGCATTTGAGTGATATTTGAAATCAGCAAGGTCTGCAAATCCTAACGCACAAAATAATCTTGCTTTTTGTTATGGGAGAAGGAACGATCAAGGATGAACAAAAAGCATTTGAGTTCTTATTAAAATCTGCAGTTTGGATAATCGACCACGAGTATTTGAGATCTAGTTATGAAAAAGGTAACAAAATTGAACAACTTATATTCGAACATCTTTTTCATTCAGCAAATGATGGTGATTCACTTTCACATTTTCGACTTGGCTTATGTTATGAATATGGAGATTGTACAGAAAAAGATGACTGCAGCGCATTTGAGTGGTATTTAAGAGCAGCAGAGTTTGGACATAGAAAATCTCAGTTTATCATGGGAAATTTTATCAACATGGAATAGGATTGAACAAAATCTTGATTTGGCATTAATATGGTATCAAAAGGCTGAAGATAACGGACACGATCGAGCTCCTGAAATGGTTGAATCTTTTAACTTTGAAGAAATTTATCCTAATTGATATTTTTACTCATGTATTTGACTTTGCAGACTATTGAATCGACTTTATTATTAACGCTATCTAATGCGAAATAGGTCTTAAAAAATTAGCACGAGTAGAAGAAAATTAACACGCGTAAACTGACTGCCTACCAAATCACATATAAATGAAATGTTCGAAATGTTATAAAGCAATATTACTATTTTTCGTTTTACATGTACATGCACACGCCTGGTATATTGGTTACTTTAGATCACTAAATTGCTAAATAATTTAACTGTACAGTTAGTCGATTTCAGTGGATAACTTGTCTAAAGTAATTGCAGTGTTTTATAACGATGCGATTTCTTGTACAACTCGTCGTAGGTGATAATCAGGGCATAAGCTACGTTTCTTCAACTGCGTTGTTTCTGCACCTGTATATCCTTGATTTGCGCCATTTGTTGTCGTTATTTTGTCTAACTTGAATTGTTCGATAATTCTTTTAAGATGGCTGTTGTATAACAGCGCTTTTCCAAAAGCAATAACAGTTTTTTTGTTATTCTGAAGTAACGGAAGTTCGACTCCAATTAGGACCATGACATATATATTATATAATATAGAATTACTAGAGTATATCCCCTCCCACCCAGGTAAAATATTAGAAAAATTTGATATGTACTGTCAGTACCATCTCATCCAGGATATATGTCGCAACGTTTAGGAATATTATCAGTTTATTTACCTGATTGAAATTATTAAATATTAATATAATTATTTCTCTTTAACTTCTATTAAAATTAATTTGAATTACTGCAGAAAGTGTTCAGTTTACAATACTCAAAACATAATCACAAATTACGAATATAACCTTATAATTTTGCTTTAATATTTACTATATAGTTAAAATATAAAATATATTATTCATTTCTAGGATAAGAATAATAAAAGCAATTTTTGTTAAGAGCCTTAGAATAAATAAATTTTTATAAATATAGGTGTAAACACAAAGATAAAAACCATAATAAAATTCTAATAGAACATAACGAAGTGTTATCATTAATTTTTAGTTTTTCTTGTAAGCCACTTCATTCTCTATTGCTATACTAAGACCGAATCTGTTTTGCATCAAGAAAAAATAATGAATTAAAGAAATTAAATAAGTGATTTACTTTCACAAGAATCATTTGAAACATAGAAACTAACTTAGCATCAATGTCTATACGTAGTTTTGCCATGATAAACCTGACATCTGGGTTATCTTGCCAAAACTCAATACAAAAATATGGGTTAATTTTTCAAAAATTTGCATTTTCATACCTATTTTTATCTGTACTTTATTTAGACCACAGGTGAAATCTACTCTGTTCAACAAGTGTTAGGTAAAGGTAAATAAGCCTAGGCTCATGAATTAATGTTATTTCAACTGATAACAGAAATCAACAAGAAATCCATCTTTATAAATAGATAATAATGACTTTTTTCTGCTTATATCAATTTTATTTTGACTTATTTCTTGGACTATTGATTTGATTTTGAATGCTATCTCCTTCAATTCTTTATTTTTGGAAGAAACATTCGTCGAAAGATACATGTAGTTGATAATTCCTTGTGGAGTTTTGAACCATCAAATTATCAATGTCTTTTGTTTTTCTTGCAGAAGCCAAAGGTGTTAATAGTTTCTCCGTTTCTCTGGTTAAAGAGTGCACCAAAGATAAAATAAAACTGCATTTTTTATTTTGCTAGTTAGTATTTTTTTGTTTGAAAAGTATGTAGTAAAAAAAATTGAAGTATATTGCTTTCTGATAATATCCAATATTCACCAGAAAGATGCAGCAGCTGACCGGTGGTGATTGTAGTAATTAGAGCAACTGTACGCTTTGTAAAGATTGATTTCCAAATATAGAATTGTAAGCTTTCTCAAGGTATTTCTATAAAGATTTATCAATAGAATGAAAATTCATCCGATAAATATTCATGATGTTTTCTAAAATTTATAATTGCGCTGGATCTATGATTAACCCTCGGCAAGCAATGAATTTTTTTGCTTCTGATTTAACGAGTGCACCAAAGCTGGCTAAATAATGCCTTTTTGAATTTTATAATCCACAAATTAGAGACAAGCTAAAGAGTTCCATTGTGATTTAAGTGCAGAAATAATTGAAAATGTTCTTTGAAATTTTAAACGACGCGCTTTATATGTTTCTGTGATTCAATTTGGCTCCAAGAACAGTTATAGAAGTTTGTCTCGATAAAGCGAAGTTTGTTCAGGAACAGATATATAGTAAATCTGTCTTGATAAACTGAATTTACTAAATAGACCTTGAATTTGTACTTTTTTGACCTTGCTATGCAAAGTGGTGATACAATTTTAACCAACCAATTCGCTGACATTCATGAGACCTTGGCTTTTTTACCCTTGCAATATCACTTCTTTCCGATTGGCCAATGCAGCTGACGTATTTTAAATTCTCAGTTTTGAAGATGAGCTTACAGTGTTATGTTACAATTTTCTCTCAAAACATTTATCTAATTTGCACTTATGGAGTTTGAGAAGAGTTCACTGTATTTCCATTATATCAACTCCCAAATTTTGTGTTAAAATAAACATTCAGGATAAACACAGAAACAGTCCGGTCTTTGTTGAAAAAGCTTTTGATGCTTTAAAAAGTTCTTCTGATTTATTTAACAAAGAATACTCCTATAGTAACATTCTGCAAACAACCACGATCATACATGTAGTACATGTATATGTGCTTAAAAATGTGACTCGGCCGCTAACGTTAACGGTAAAGGCAGCAACAGTTTCGCTATCCACACTGAAAATTCGCCATCCATCATTTCCAACGCTAATCCATCAAAAATCAACATCAATGACAACAATAATGATCCACTTGCACGAATCTCAATACCAACGTCGCGAAGAAAAGCACTGGCGACAGCAAGCGGAGCATTCTGGGATTTATTTTTGGCGGGTGTAAAGAAAGTAAACGCAGTGGACTCCAATACCGAGCAGAAAAATATCTGCTGTTACCAAGGGTGGTTGGTACTTTTATCATAAGCGTAAAAATTACAAAATGATCTTGGCGGGTGTTAGATACGCATTTTTTACTGGTATTTTGTGTTTGTCATTTGTTGGATTGGAAGCTGCGCTGGATGATCTTAAAGGTGAAACAGATGTGTGAAAAGAGTTGCAGCTGGAATTGGGACTGCTTTATGTTTTTCAACATTATGTAAGGTATTTATTTGAAATATTACATTTTTATTTTCTAGATAATTTTTGCTAACTTAATCTTGAGTTTGAAATATTTCGTATTATTTGAAAATAGAGACAAAGCACAAAATATGCAATTGTTCTTGGAGTCGGCCGGTGTTGGATTATGCTCAAGATTATCGAATATCGAACACATGAAATAAGTTTTCCAAAACATGATACGAATCCAAAATTAAAGCTTGGTCTTTTTTATTTCTAAAATTTTGTATTTATTTCCTTTCTTTTTCTAAGTGTGAGTTCTAAAAAAATGTAACGATACGTTTAGATATTATGCTCCAAGTACCTGTTCTTTTTGAACCAGTGACCTGTGAACTCTTCTGTATACATGTATTTCTCACATATGTTATGTCATTGCAAATTTTAAAATTTCTTGGATAAAATCTCATCAATTTCTGATTTTGTTAGCATTGTTGTATTTCCAAAGAAAGTTTTACCCGGTGCAGGTATGTTTTTGACTTCTTAATCAATAAAGATTAGTCCTTTCTTCATTACATGATTCACAATTTCTCATGAGATATCGTTGATGGGCTGGTATTTTTTTTTTATTTTCGTCACTAAATATCAATCGAATAAATTATATGGATCATTCATTTATTGAATATATTTCGTGAAATTATGATTTATAATTATACAAAAGTTTACACAGTATAAAGTAGTAATTATTCGAAACTAATTATTTTAAGAATAAAATCAAAATTAATTAAAGAGTTTTAATATGAAAATGATTTTTAGTATTTACCTTTGTAGATACTGGCAAGTCGCGATATCTTTGAAATAGAGATCGAGGAAAATCTCATTATTGAGTTCAAGAAATGAAGGATATTTGTTGCTATTCATGATTATATGCCGATAACCCGAAGATTTAGATACTATAGTAATATGTTCAACAATGAATTTTTTTACTTCATCCTTAAGTTCAGGACAAAGAAAAGCATGCATAAAAAGTATTTCGGCTGAATTTTCACAGTTTAAAGATGCGATAATATATTCTTTAGTCTGTGCTTTAAGTTCGTCAATTAGGTATTTATCTGCTATCTTATATAGATCGATAGCATTTTCGTAAGGGGCTGAAGATTTGTCTTTCTTATAAATAACTTCACCAGTATAAAGATATTTTAACATTTGCAAGAAAAGTTTCGGATCTGTTCCTTGAACGTTGACCTCATAATCGAATGCTCTTTTGTTATCAACACGTTCTATAACCGTTAGGTCTTGATTCTGTTCTCGAATCTTTAGATCATCCTCTTTGGCTTTATCTAAGCCTGATGTTGATTCCTTATTGTTAGCGCTATTTTCACGTTCATCATCTTGAACTCGTTTTTTCTTTTCCGCCCAATGTTCGCTGAATAACGCTTGGAAATATTTCGATTGCGTCGATAGAATTCTGCTGTTTGCATAATAAATCTGGTCACCAAGAAAGAGCTTCACATCAGAAGTATCCGGATTGTTTAAATCACTCGTCCAAGCTTTTTTTAGTCCAAGATTTTGAGTAAAATTTATCGGTTCAGTTATCGGATCCTCATTAGTATCCATATCAAATTCGACGCCGAATATAAATTTTTCTGGAAGTTTAGCTATTTTTATATGATCACAGCCTAGGATAGAAATGTGATACTTTATAATTAATTAGTGTTAAATATTTATGAATTAAAAAAATTGAATATTGAACTTACCTAAGCCTTTTATTTCATAACCAAATTTGCTGTCAAGAATAGATCTATAAATAAAGATATTTGATTCCTTTATAAATATCCTCGCGTTGATATTTTTTCTTTTGGGCCAAATTGGATTCACATTTTGAGATTCACATTTATCCGGAATTGCACAAAGCCAAAATGCACAACACGCTGTGTTTTCACTGTTAATCTTCAAAATGAAACGACATTTTAATTTACAGATGAGCAAATATTGTATAAATCAAAAAAACCCCCACCTCAAAACGTAGCTGCCAAAATGTATTGCCAGGAGCGACCAATAATGGACTGTAAATAGGTTTGGCACTCAGCGTTAATGATTTTTTATTTAAAACGAACATATACGAAGAATTGAAGTTAAATTCTTTTTCGGCCGTTTGACTTGACATCATCAGTTATCGTTATGAAATTAAACGACAATGTGCGTGAAGTACATGTACATACATGTAGTTATTTTCTGTTGTACTGTTACACTAATAACACAGACTCCCACCATTGTTTTTTCAATTATTCTATCGCCAACCGATCAGAACTCCTTCGTACATAATACGTACATGTAATATCGATACCGATACATATTGTTACATGTACAATTTTGATAAACCCCCGTCTGTTAATCTATTTTTATTTGATGTTCTATTCTACATGTAATTCTATTTTTATCTCACTTTTGTTTTCTATTTTTTTTTATCTCAAATTTCTTAAATTCTCTCTTAAATATTATCGTTATGCGTTAAATTCTAGTACAATGGAATCAAAAAGATGTATATATAGTCCTCACGGACATGAATAAAAATTTAGAATTAATTGTGTACAATTGTAGAGATGTTACGGTGCGGTTTGATTAGGTCCCGATTCAAAAAGACTGGTTTTTTAAATCAGAACCGAATCATTTCGGTCTTTTTGAATCATCAATACATCGATTGTTACATGCATATATTAATTATTATTATAAAAAAAGAATAATTTTTTCTATATTATTATAATAAGTAAAAACATCGTATATAAAAGCTTATTGATTTAATGCTCTTTACCATCCGCTATTCCATTACTAATCCAACTTTTCACACAAAGACAAGATCTTGCTGTTTCGGAATGAAGCCGACTTCGAGTTTTAAAAGTCTCTTCGGTATTATTCATTTTACTTACAGACACAACAAAGATGAATTCGTTTATAAATTGGTAAAATTGGCATTATTAACGATTAACAATGAGAACAATAACAATGGATATAATATTGTGGCTCAGACAAGGTCAAATTATAGTTTATTTATATAAATATATTGAGTCTAGCATTATTTGTTGAGCTTTATAAAGCTTTAAAGATTTTGTTATTTTGCTATTTTACTTAATATTAACGTTGGCATCGATTGCTTATCATTATTATTATGTGACGTATATGTATATCAGTAGGATACCCTAGCCATGGCGAAAAAAATGTTACGGGTTATGTGATTCCGATCCGGATCCCTGGTGTTCACTATTGTGCTACACTTATGATGCAATCATTATAATCAAACTTTTTATAATACCCAAAACTTTACTCTTGTCATCGTAGTATTTATATTTAAGCTTTTTGTAAATTAAAGAGAATTAAGAAATATCGAATGTCTTAACAAGAAAATGATAAAACGTCTCCAATAAAATAAAAAAATTTAATGTAATCAAAAGTCAAGCTTTTTATTCTTTCCGTTTGATTTTCAAGTACCTTGTTGAGTGTGAGTTTGTAATGCTTCTTTACACTATTCAACCTCTTTCACAAATGGCATCACCAAGACATCAAAGTTACTAATAAAATCATCATTATCCATCTCTCGCTCATATAATGCCAACGCGACATCAAATTTTTTTTATATTGAGCAAGTTTCACTCATTTTTCTTCCATTACATCATGGTTTATCTCTATTAATGTATTTTGTAAGTTGCTTAACTGAAGCTACCTTCAATAAAATTATTTTTGACAATGATCATGCTAAGTCTGGTTCAGGGATTATTTGTTGAAGCAATAACTGGTGCTTTGTCACTCCAAAAAATGAGCAAAGGATAATCATGTTATCATACTGTCTTCAAAAAAGTGAATAGAACTCATTTACCATTTCTTTTGTTAATGAGATATTTGCAAAGATAATAGCAACAAATTCAGTTATTAATATTAATATGATATCTTTTTTCAACATCAAGTTGAATATCTATTGTGCATTTTTGCATCAATCTCTTTTGAATATATACTATTATAATGAAAAAATACAATTTTTATTATATTAAACCAGTTTGATTTCATAGTCAGACACAAGTTGCTTTATTATAATTTGTATAAGTTGATCCATTCATGAATAATTATAATAATATTTATAATTATACTTTAAAATTCGTCAATGACTTTTTATGATTATAATGATATGCATATAAAATATAACTAGTGAGTATAAAGATTAAGCAAACAGCTTTTAGTCCTTTTCATTGTATCAATTTGATTATTTCAATAATCTTAGAAAATTATATAAGTAGCAAAACTAATACATCACTTGAATACAAAGATGAAATAATCTTTGATTACTGATATAAACAGATATATATTTGAAGATTTTTTAATTATTTCTAAAAGTTCTTTACTAAAATTATCTGAATAATAGAATTTGATATCATTTTGAATTCATAATAATCTATAAATTTAAATTTATAATAAACTTTCAATATCTTAGCTATTGAATATATATTTGTTTTAAACTTTTTGTTTTTGTGCTATTTATTAATTATGTGCTCAAGATGCCAATAACAAAGTTGAATATTAATTATTTATAATCAAGTCTCACTAACTGCTAATATTTATTCTATATCTTTATCTAATAAGACAAATACTGATTATAATTCTCCTATTAAAGACTGATAAAGAATATTTATAGCATTTTAACTTATATTTTTATATTATTTCTTGATTTCTCAGTACTATTAAATATGATAAAATACAGATATACTAATAAAAGCTGATTTACTTGATTCATTATATAAGCTATTTTACTATATATAATAATATTCCTGCTCTATTATATAAATCTTTGTATTAAGAAATTTATTCTTGCAAAGTTGATAATAAATTTCTGTACATGAAGTTTAATATTGTTTTGAATATATTCTTTTACTTTTATAATCTGTCAATATATTAGTTTTTTATATTTTATTTGATAATTATCTTGAACAAAAATATATTATTGTGAGTTTGATACTTTCTATATAAATATATCTTTTAATAAAGCACAAACTTCACTTTGTCTTTTCAATAGTTAATTGTCTGATCTTTTTCAGATCTGATTATTTTGTATTTTGTAGCTAAAATACATTATAGCAAAATTTGAGAATTTTTTTTGTTATTTAGGTATATTTTGTACATCTTCCAATAAAAATTAAAATATAATTTGAGCAATATAATAAGTATATTGACAAGTTGTTAAAATCTCTCTTTAATTATTTTTAAATCAAGTGTATTTGACATCAAGTTTCATTAATTCAGAAAAATCACAGTAAAAAGATCTTGATCCAACTCAATCTTAAAAGCAAATTTTACAGATTCATTGAATATTTCTATTTTTATAAAATACTCACTAACAATTTTAGATATTTTATCTAAATCATATAGAAATATCTTAGAGTTATCACTCTGCTAGTTACTATCAGTACTTTTATTTAGTATTATATTCAAGATATTTTTAGTACTACCATTTATATAAAGTTTTTCAATATCATTAGAGGTGTTATTATTGCAATATAAAATAATGTTGTCTCAATTTATATTGTTGCTTATTTCTAATTTTGCTTTCTTTTTGATGATGTATGAATATTTTTTTGGTATTTATTTTTTAATCTTGCAGAGTATTGATTGCAAGTAGTATGTTTATATTCTGGAATATTAGCAAAAAGATGGCAAAAGTTAGTAATTTTCTTTAATACATGACAGCTACTGCATGTTTTTTCACTTTGAGATTTGTTTTCACTCATATTTTTTGATATGCAAATATTAAGTGTAGAACAGACTTGGATATATATTAATGGAGAAAAATTGTGCAAGATTGTGTCTGAAAGAATGTGCCTGGAATCAGCAATGCGTCAAAAGAAGATAAGCACGTGATTTATAATATGGCACTTCAAAAACATATTATTTTAATAAACTAATAATTTTTATTTTACATACAATAAATACAGTTAGAATTTATTGTGAAAAAAAGCATATTTTTCATCAATCAAATCAAAAATATCAAGAAAAATGTATTTTTTCATCAAATAAATTAAGTCAAATCAAATTTGCTAGAAAAAATTAAAAGCAAAAGTAACAAGTTTAATCATATTTTAATGAGATTGTTAAGTTTGTTATTTACTAAAATACAATAATATGATTTGGGTTCGGGTCGGAATTCGGATCGGAATTTTGGTTTGGAAAAATCTGATTAGTTCGGATAGATCAGAATCACATGACCCGTAACTTTTTTTCGTCATGGCTAGGGTACTTAGAGTAGAGCTCATTACGTCACCAATAATGAACAAATTTTCCAATAAATCTATAAGCTTGTTTTTTCATTAGTTATATTGCACCAAAAAGTATACATGTTCATAGTGCCACTGTACGTCTATTTTTTACATATTATCAAAATACAGTCAGCACGGAAAATAATGGCGGCCAATTTTTTCAGAAATTTTTATGCCATTAATGGGACAACATGCCTATATAGAAAATCAATACTTGATATGCCCTCTTTCCGCGTCAATGCAAGCTTGAACGTGGTTTGACATACTACTAATATAGTTAAGAACCACCTCTTCTGGAAGATTCTCCCACTCCTCAACTAACGCAGCAAAACCCTCCAGTAACACGCTTCTTTTTTGTGCCACTATTTTTTCCCACATTTCGCTTCAAAAATGCCCAAACATTTTCGATCAGATTAAGTCTGAAAGAAATAGATTTGTGGGCAGGTAGGTTGAGAATTTTTATCCCAAAGACTCATTTTTACTATTTGAAAAAAAATTAAAGACATTAAAGAAAGAGAAATTAAAGAGACTATTTTATTCTAAAACGAAAAATTGCTAGGTGCGAAAAGTTACTATCAGATGAAGAATTTACTTATTTGTGTCGGTGACATGTGCTAGATTTAGGGTTAAGTGTCAGTCAGAGTTATCTGTAAAATCTTCCCGACATTGGTAATTAGTGTTCTATGTTAGATTTTTCATATTTTTTATTTTCCTATGTCGGATTGGATTTGTTTTGTGCTACCCGGCATATCCATTTTGGGCTTGTATTAGAGGCACAAATAAGTCCATGTATACGCGGAACAAAAATCCGAATGCCAGTGTCACCACCATTTCTAACTATTTACGTACATTTATCGTTATGCATTACATGTATCATATTTTACTTATCAGGTCAGGAAGAATTACTACCGCTACGTATTACGTACATAATTGCAATTCTAATTAAACACGAGTTTATACATGTACGTATGTAGCAAACGGAGTGTGATTTACAAGTTACCGTACTTTTGGTATCTTCAACAGACATCTCGAATTTTTATTATTGTATGAGAGTTTATATACATGTAGCAGGTACATTTTCGGTTGTAGAATAAATACGTGTGCGTAGTAAGCATACGTATATGATTTACATGCATAACGATAATTATAAGAAATTAAGCCCTTACATGCACGATGATGAAAGTGCATTTATTCATGGAGGCGCTTTTTAGATAAGATATTTTGATTGACTATGAACTTGACTTCTTTGCTAAATTTTATATCCATTCATTGTCATGTAATTTTTTCATACGTAATTGTAAGTGTTAGGCGTTTTTTTTAGACAGTATCGGTATACGTAGTTGGATTAACCGCACAGTACCCACAAAAAGTAATGCTCGATTTAAAAAATTTTTTGATTTAATAATTAAAACAGTTCTTCATTTTAATAAAAGTTCTCTTAGTCTTGTTCACTTTTTAAAATATAATCGATCAGCTTTAAATGAGATGAAATTTAGAAATAATTATTATAATATATGCATAGCCTGAAATTTCCATTTTCATGTTTTACTGTATAATTTTAGACCGGGGCGTTACTTTTGATGTGTACTGTACATGTATTTACGACTATCGATTAATATAAACTTTAGCAATGATGACTATGAATTGACATATTACTTAGCAAAGCCATTGTCGAGATAGAATAAAGTACAATACAATTACATTGCTGAATGTGTAATTACCAAGAAGTCAAGTTCCTAGTTCCAAATATACTGTCTAAAAAGCTACGAAAGAAGCTAGTAGTCTTTATGACTATGATTTGATATTAGAGATTACGGTGACAACGAGAAATAATAATACATTTTGAGAACTTTATTCTTAACTTAGTAAAGCCATTGTCGGAATAGAATGGAATTACAAAAGAAAATTTTGTATATGCAATTTTGTATAAAAAGAACTCTTCTCAGAAATTGAATCAACAAGAAATTAAAAAAAAAACATAAAAATTCAATTTATAAACGATGGCTAAAATCTCTAAACATTTCGTTTTCTTGTGCCTAATTCTTATGGTTCTCTGCGCATTTGTTTCAGCAGGTGAATGCACATTAATATAATTCATTAATTAACAAAGTTTAAATTCTTCACAAATCATTTACTTACAATTTGCTAACTATGCTAATTTATTTAATGCTTACCTAAAATTTATGAAGAAGAAGAAATAAAGGATGAGAAAAAGGATGAGAAATGTTGTCAAGAGAAAGAGGACTGTTGTTTTTGTCCAACGGGTTTGGAGGCTGTTTCTACTGGTGATTGGAAAGCGTGTCCTCTAGATGCCAAGACATGTGGGGACTGCGAAGGAGGGTTAAATAAGGTTGATATGCGATGGGTTTGGGACAAGGTTTATTGTAAATGGGTCCAAGAATGCAGATGTGTATGTTGTTGTGAAAAAGATAAGTAAAATCATACATGTATTATGCAAAAGTTCTTTTAACTTGCATGTTACATAGTTCAAATTGTATGTGTCCATCCAATCTTTTTATTTGTAACTACCTCACCTCTTGTTTGCTAGAAAGAAATTTTATACAGTATACCAGAAATAAAGTTCATATATTTATATGTATATTTGATGTTTCAGGCAAATGCAAAGTTGATTTTCAGCAAAGTTTCTAAATTAATCAAATTCTTAAAAATCTGTAATTTTCGAGGTTTTTCATTTAATTATTTCTGTTTTCATGTAAATTTTGAATAATGCTATTAAATTGTTATAAATCAATTAAAGTTTCCTTTTAGGCAATATTCTGTTAAAGTAATTATAGTCTTTTGAAAAACAATCTCGTGGACAATCTTGTCTGACCCCAATGAATAAGTCTTCCTGAATTATATAGACTGACTCTCCGTCAGGATTTCGCCGCTTTTTCATACAGTTAACGATTTATTATTTTTTCAAAAAGCTGTCCTAGTTCATTTACGTGAACAAACCTCCGATTCCATAGCTTTTTTGAACCATTTGTTTGCTTTACTTTCATCAGATTTTCTTATAGAGACAGTGGATTCTTTGTTGCGATATTTATTAAAAGGCTGATGCTGTTTCCGTGGATTCTTATTTTATGAATCCAATCTTTTATTCCAAGTTCGTGATCGAATCTGGGAATTGACTTGTTTTAATTGAAAGAAAACTATTGTACAATGCTGATAAAAAAGTTTTTGCTTTTGAAAAAATGATGGTTAATTTGATATTTCAGCAATCATTAACATTTTTTTCTAAATTGGAGAGGTGTATACTGTATGTTCATTCAATGTTAACGTTAACATCAATAACGCTTCACGTGTTCTCTTTATCTGACATAAGGCACGACATGTGAATATAAATAATTAACATTGATAATTATTAGTTAATCATACTTATCTAACTTCAGTCGAGAGCTTTTGATTATATACATTCTGAGCAACCAATAAATTAATAAATTAGCGATATACATATAGTTGGTCTTTGATTTATCCTTCTTCGGATTAACTGGTTTCACCATGTCTTTCGACAAAAAGTAGCATTACCATCTTTGTTCACTTTACGTATACATATACGCAAATGTTTTTAGTGATCATGTGCTGCATTTACGTATATGAACGTTATTCATGTACATACGTATGTTATTAATCCAATAAATAAAAATTAAAACACGTGATTCATAGTCCGTCTACAAATAATAATTATGATTCTTTTCATTAAATTTTGAGAAAACAATAATATAAACTCAAGATCTACTAATGTATATATGCTTAATTGCCTGAAAAATTCATCAACGACTACGTATCTGGCAGTAATTTTGCAGGCCACGAAAAAATACCAATATTATCAAAACTGATACATATATTGTTGATACTATTATTTATCGAATTATAAAAAGAATTTAATATTATTATGTCCAATTTTAGATGTTATTGTTTTTAAGATTTAAGCCCGACGTCCCAAAATTTGGCAGAATAACATTGAATTTTTTCATAATTAAAAATTTCACAGTTTAAAAACATATTTACCAATTTTCATAGCATTTGTATCTTTTATTGGTTTTACATTTATTCGAGTACTTCGGATAATCGAATGTTAGTGCACTGTACATGTATTTTGATGACGAAATAAACTCTAACATGGTGTTATGGTGTAATGCACCTAAACTCACTCATCAACAAAATTTTATGTTTTAAATTCTAAACTTTTTAACTAGGAAGTAAATATAAAATTTAATCATAGAATAGGTCTTTCTTAATTCTTTTATTGGATTAAATTTTGTATTTACTTCTAGTTAAAAAGCTAGAGAATTTAGAACATAAAATTTGTTGAAGAATTAGTTGCATTGCATCGTACTAGAAAATTTCCATTTTAATTTGTTCGATAATCTACATACGTATTTATTGGTGGTGGCGTAACGGTAATGAACTCCACTTTAAAAATTATTATTATGGAAGATTACAAATCAAATTACATTTTTTCATTTCAAACAATAGTTTTAATTAATTTGTTGAATAATTTTGCGCGAAAAAACTTATAATGCTAAGAATAATAAAGGATTTCTTACTAACTCAATGCACAGTCGAATTATTTTATGAATGATAGAATAAATTTTTTATTCACAAATACATATATATCTTAAGTTAGTCATCGCATAATGATAAGATTAAAAAAAAAGCATAAATAATGATCACTTATCAATGAATGAATTTGGAAAGAAGAAGTTAAATATTGAAAATAAAGTATAAAATAGAGCTCTCTCCAATTGTGTTCGTGTGACTTTTGATGCCGAATTAGATAGTCAAAGTCTTTTTGTAACCTGAATGCGGGCGTGCGTGTGGACTTTGAATACTTTAAAGAAATTCATGATCGAATTTAAATAAGATATCGAAAAATGCGAATGTGAATTGATAAACAAGGCACTATTTAATTTATTAGCCTTACAAATATCAAGATGCAATAGTCAGAACAATATGCATATGGTGAAAGAAAAGTTTAAAAGTTTATTTAACAATAAGCGTTTAAAATATTACTATCATTTGCATTTGATGTAGGAAACTGGCTATTCAAAATATTGTTAGTTCTGTTAATAATGTCTTGCACCATGTTCAAATAGCTAATTGATGATTGTTGAGAAAAACAAACAATCATTTATTCTTTGGGGGAATTTGTCCTTGGATTTATAATCAGTCGAGAGAATTTGATATTGAACAATTGCAAGAATTTACGTAATGATCTAAATGTACGCGCGCAATTTTTTTGGGGTGACTGTTGCCTTAACGTTAGTATAAATACAGATGATCAACGCAATAAGTTTGATTTGTATAAGAGCAAATGGTTTGTCATTAGTTAAATACAAAGTTAAATAGGGCCTGCGGACAAAATAATACTTTTCTATTAATTGATTTCTTTTTTAAAAACTCGAAATTTTCAACTTCATTTGTTGATTCAAAGAACGTATCCTGTAAAAAAAAAATAAACAGGCAAAAACAGTTTTTTTAGTTTTGGTAAACCACAAGTTGTGAAATTTCTGATTAAATCTGATTAAAATGGGGGACGTGATATCTCGTGATCCGCACTTTCTATCCTGACAAAAAACATGCCATTTGATTCATATAGTCTTAACGAATCGAATGGTGGAATTTTCATCCGAATTGAACCTGTGGATCACGAGATATCGCGTCCCAAATGTACTGGATCAATTTTTTGCTCAAAATTAAAATGTGTGCATTATTTCCCTTAGTTTTGGTGGATTCAATGGTAGTAATTTTTACACGTCAAGTAACTCGTCGAAGACACCTATTGCTATATTTGGTGTCATAATAATCTGACAATACGTATATATGTACATGTACAATCGCAGGTCAAATATACTGTTACCAGGGCTAGAGTTAATTTCGTTAATCTCCCAATTTTGGTAAAACCAGCCTGGCCCGATTTCGTTAGTCTATCTTTATTCGCTTTTGATTTCTATTTTAATTTCGCTTTTGATTTCTATTTTAATTTCGCTTTTGTTTTCTATTTCAATCTCGCTTTTGATTTCTATTTTAATTTCGCTTTTGTTTTCTATTTCAATCTCGCTTTTGTTTTCTATTCTAAATTCGCTTCCGATCTCACTTTTAATCTCGCTTTTGTTTTCTAATTTTCAATCTTAAATTCACTCTTAACGATATAAACAAAAAGATGTATATATAGTCCTCGCGGACGTTAATAAAAATACAGTATTAAATTGCGTACAATTCTTCTCCAAGTAAAATTAGACTTGTAAAAGTGTTGTAATTGGTTGTGGTTAGGTCCTTTAGTCCAGAAAAGGCGTTGATATTGTTAAACGGCATATTGATTGATTGAAAAAACGCTTTGTGATTAAACAGTTTAAGGTTTTTAGCTAGAAAAAGCAACGATTGGAAGTTAATAGAAAGAATATTATCGATAAACCGTCACATAAAACATAAAACCCAAAACCATCTTACCCAAAAACCCAAATCTGCTAAATTCCCCATACTGAACGATATCCGCAGATATCGGCACAGGAATCAGAAACAAACGAACACCACTCAGTCTAATCACTCCCCCAACCCATTGTTGCAGGTAAAATCGTCGATTACGCCTAATTACGATCTACGTATTCATAACAATACGATCATCATGCAACTAATTAATGATTTTGGAACTGTGGAGATTCGAGGGGTTTGCTTTTTTAAAAATAATTATGTATCTGCTTCATGTCATAAATAACGTAGTAACCACCTGAACCGCAACAATAATCATCCATCCTATTATTACATTGTATGCCGAATAGCAATAATTAACTAGCCCAATATAGAAATATATGTAATCCGATTGCCTATTGGTACATGTACAATAATGAAACATTACATGTACGTATGTCCCATGTAGCGAAACGCAATGGAAAAATAATCAATAAAAAGTGTTTCTAATGGAAACGATTTATACATGTATAACAATGGGTGTTCTGAGCCAGAACGGTATCATGTGATATAGCAAGACTTATTATCCGATCAGGAGCAAAGCGGCTGACAAACTTCACCGTAACTTATTATGGCTCGTAGAGCCCTTACTTTGTAAGCTTGTGAAGGGAAACTTTTCTATAATATATTTAACCTCACTTCTAGTTAAATCCGAAAAGCTAGATGCAGTAAACGATTTAAACGCCAAATTTTATCTTCCCCAATGCAATTAAAATTTTTCGGGCTATATCTGTTCTTTTGCGTATCATAGCCTTATTAAGATTTTCGGGAGATGCTCTTTGACTTCATTGTTTACCTCTGTATGTGCTGTTTGCGAAGGATTATTCTTTAATAATATGGTGAGTCGTCCGATAGAGCTTTCAAAACGAAAATAATATTGAATCTCGTTTGATCACCTTTCTTTTCAGCAATATCAACTTCATAATAAGGCGATGGAATTGATTCGATATTTCACCTATGTTGACATTTTCGGAAGGAACGCTGATTAATGATTCATTGTAATTGGAATGATGGCTTGTAGTTTTGTGCCTCTGCTAGATTTACTTTTACGACTATCTACTTCCTCGCTCTTCCTTTTCTTTTTGGGTGTTTCGTGGACGGAAATACTAGGTGAAATATAATATACTTCCTTTTCCAGATCACCGATTGATGGACATTTAGGACACAGCTTGCGTTTATTGTCAATGCATTCGAAATGTAGGCATGTACACATTTAACTAATGCATATTAATACAATGGCCTCCCAGAATATTGTGGACATTTTTTAAAATACAATAATGCAAAACCAATAAAAAAGCAAAATTTATGATTCTAAGCTAATAGAATCATTGAAAATATTGTACATTATAACAAAAATTTCAAGTGTTTTCAATAACTAGTTCAAAAAATATAAATATAAAAAATAAAATTTAGTATCAAACTGAAAATTTACATGAAAAAAATATTCTATTTTATAAAGATGCAAATATCTTCTTACCCAGTAAACCAAATTAAATAATTTTATATTACCAGATTCACCAAGTCAAGGTGCATCTAATGATATCAAAATCATATGATTGGGATCACTAGATGCAGCGATATAATGTCTCAAAAATACTGTACAAAAATCAAGATAAAAAATATTTTAAAGAAAACCATTTTTACAAATATCTTTGCATACAGTGGACCAAATTGGATGTTTTGATATTACTAGATTCACCTAAACAAGGCGAACCTGATGTTATCAAAATCATCAAATTTGGTTAATTGGATGTTAAGATATTCACAAAAACTATTTTCTTCAAAAAATTTTATCCTGATTATGTACATTATCTTTGAGACGTGATATCTCCTTATTTAGTACTCCAAATTGAATGAGTTTGATATCATTAACTTGAAGAATTCACTGATAAAATTTATTTAATTTGATTTACTGGATGTGAAGTTATTTACATCTTTGTAAAATAAATATTTTTTCACATAAATTTCAGTTTGATACTAAATTTTATTTTTTTATATTTATATTTTTTGAACTAGTTATTGAAATTGTGATATATTTTCAATTTTCTATTAGCTTAGAATCATAAATCTTGTTTTTTTATTGGTTTTTGCGTTATTATATTTTAAAAAGTGTCTATAATATTCTGGGAGGCCACTGTACTTGAAATCCAAGTTATTGACATGAGAATTGATTTAAGTTTATCTAACTTTCAATAATGAAAAGGTTAAGATTCCATGAAATTAAACAAAATATTTCGGTATTAAGCTCATGAAATAAAGGACAATCGTCAGGATTCTTGCAGAATTTTTGGTATCCCGATGACTTAAACACATCATTAAAGTTTTCGACCACATATTTCATTACTTCCTCTTTAAGCTCAGGCCAGCAATGAACAGTTTCAAAGAGAGTTTCAGCGGCCTTCTCAGGAGTTAAAGCAGCAGCAATATATTCTTTAATCTTCTTTTGTAATGCATCGATCAAGAACCTGTCTGTAATTTTGTATAACTAGAGAGCATCTTTCAATGCACTTGCTCTATATATGAGGCTTTCCGTATATAGAAATGCTAATATGCGATGAAAACACACCGGATCAATGTCCTCAATGGTGATTTCAAATTCGAATTCGAATCCGATTAAGCTACAAGTTTCAACACAAAAATGTAATGCACTTTCAAAAGAAGAGTTAATTTCCATGCTGCACTTAGACAATCGCAATTTATTCGATTCCACTGAATAATGATTGAAAATATTTCGATTGTTTGCCTAAAATTCTGCTACAACAAAACGTCATGCCATCCAGGTAAAATATGGTGTCCGAAGTGTATGAATTATCCAAATCACTGAGCCATGCTTCTTTCAGACAGGTATTTTCAAAAGGTATTGGGAAAATTTTTGGCTCTTTTTGATAGCTGTTTACATTGATTTCCACGCCGACTACAAAACTGTTTGGAAGCCTTGCTCGTTTACACATCCTAGCACCTAAAAATTTAATAAATTAAGTAAATATCTTAAATGAACATACAGACAAAATTTCCCTAAATGCCCCCCCCCCCCCCCCCTTGGGACCATAGTAAAGCGTGCATTTAGAGCGGGTGTGCATTTATAGAGGGCAAGATATATAGAGCTCTTATGAGCTCGGACCCAGCCATACTGTGCATTTAGAGAGGGTGTGCACTTATGGGGGTGCATTTAGGGAGGTTTGTCTGTAGCTTAAATCTAATGTATTATTTTCTTCATCACCTTAAGTGAGCATCTCCCAGCCAAATTTCTTGTCATCGAGAATCCGAGATAGTACGTATTCTTCGCTATTGAAGCTTCTTTTTATAAATATTTTTGGAATAATATTCTTCCTTGCTGGCCAAATCGGATTTTGGTTTGCTTCTCGCATGTATCAGGAATCGTGGAGAGAAGAAGAGCGCAATATTCTGGTTCCCTTTTGAAAATCTTCAGCCGGATATTAAATAATTTCAATATTGGAAATAAATTTAGATTCATTACTGGTTCGAATTGTAATTTCCAAAAGTATCCGCAGGCGCTTCAAATGATGAAAAATATATTGTTTTTTCTCCCATTGATTCTTTCAATATTACGAACTCAAGAACTCCATTTTTTTACGTAATCTGATTTACAGAATTCTGTGCATATCAAACTTATTCATATCTGGTACATGTATAAGTACGTACGTAGTTTGGCATTAGATGTACGTACATGTATTTTTATTATGCTGAGATGTTACATGTACGTGCATGTAATTTGAAAGGCATACGTAGTTAGTTTATCTGGTTGAGAAATACGTACGTAAATTTCTGTTATATTTTGATATCATAGAAGTAACACATGTATATAACGTGTCTAGAAGCATGGTTTTCTTAGCGTTAGGATACAAATGGACTTTTATGCACAATATCACGTGTAATACTAACGATAACGATAAATTTATAATATAACAGTCATATTTTTTACCAGAAAATAAAATTAACCTAAATCTTAGCGTTAGATCACCAAAAAATTACATGTACATGCACAAATAAAGGTTGATAAAATATTCTACGAATGATTAATTAATTGCCAATAGCCTGAGGGAAATTAAATAACTTATCAGGATCATACTCGTCTTTAACTTTCACCAATTTCGGGTAACTTGATCCATAATATTTGTTCTGCCAATTTTTCAAATCACGGTCAATATAATTCTGATAATTAAACGGCGACGCGTATCGATCTTGCCAATCATCGCTGAATGTATTGATATTTGAGACACAAGCTTTTGCGTTGCTATCGCCGTCATCCCAATACGTTAGAAGTTCGATCGAGAATAACGGATCACGATGAATGAATGCCATTGCATCAGAAGACACAGATTTAATCACTCCACCGTAAATAGCAAGAATCGCATATGTTTTGCATGCAGGCGCCGCCAAGAAATCACCCATTGCTTTAATACCGGCAGAAGAAAGACCAGGTTCTGCAACATAGAATGATTTTGACTTGAAATTGTATGGTAAGAGTGTTGGATCTTTGGTGAATGATTCCGATTGATAACCAAAGTATACGACAGATTCCCAGAAACTATGTTGGATAATTTTTTCAATGGTGTATCCTGGTGCAGATGATAGGAAACTATCGAGTGCGGCAGGAAGATCAGATTGTAGACCGATAAAGTTACCCTGGACTGATAGTCCAGTATTGGACCATACGCAATTAAATGTGACGTCATTTGTACCAGAGCGCGCATATGATTCGAGAGCTGGTATAAGAGTGTATACGGAACTCGTTGGCCATTTATATTGAAATGAAGTGATTTGTGATGGGGTTTGATTAATTTTGAATGTGAAATAAGTGACCACGCCATAACTTCCACCACCAGCACCACGCAACGCAAAGAACAATTCGGAATTTTGACCAGAGTTAGCGGTAATTAGACTACCAGTTGCATCGACCATATCCATCGAGAGAACACTATCAACGGTGAGACCATATTTACGGGATGAAAAACCATAACCGCCACCTAATGCCAATCCACTAATTCCTACTCCAGGACAAGTTCCCGCGGGAATAAAGTAGCCGGCTTGACTGAGTACGTAATAAATTGTCCCAAGTTTATTTCCTGCACCGATTATTGCCGTGTTTGATGACTTGTCGATTTTGATTTGGTTTAGCTCCTTCAAGTCAATTACGAGGGATCCATTTTTACCACCAATAGAATAACTTTCAAATGAGTGTCCTACAAAGTTATTTATTATTTATTAGTGGTTGAAATGACATTATGAATTAACGAATAGTCTATGAAGAATATATCAAGCAAATGAGGAGTTTTACCTCCCGAACGAGGAGCAACATTGATTTTAGAAGCCTTTGCACATTTAACTGCAGTCTGTACGTCAGCCACATTTGCAGCATAAACTAAAGCAACGGGATCTAAAAGGAAACCAATTAAAGTGAGAAAAATTATTTAATTCGAAATCATGATGCGCATAATTTCATACAGTATTGGATCCATTTATTCTCGTCGACAATAAGCTTCGAATAATCAGCATCATTTGGGTAAATAACCTTTCCCGAAACACTTGACAGACAGGAATTAAGGCCGCTTACAGGTGGAGGCGGAGGTGGAGGTGGAGAAGTTTTACATGCTGCTTCTGCGCTTGCAGCCGCGACACATCCGTCACCGCAATATTGATCACTTGATCCACAATAACCCCACTATTGTAACCGAATGGTTCTGTTAAAGTATACACCAACACAAATATTATTTACCATCATAAAATGAAATATACTTTTGAACAACAAGGATTAGCCCCGTCACATCGAACACCACTAGTACCACAAGTATCTCTTTTTCTCAATGAAGAAAATGAACCTTCAACCAAGATCTCATTATGCAATACTAATGATAATATCAAAGTCGTAGCAAATAATAACAGTAATTGGCTCAGTTTTAGGTTAGAGTTATTCATTATGCACAAATTGGATTTTTTTGACAATCTTCAAAGATTTGGCAAAAAAAGAAAAATGTTCGTTTCACTTTTATAGATCTTTTTTTTGTTTATCACCTACCTATATTTTAAAGTACGTTTGCATATCGGGATACATGCATAACAATAGCCACGCTCATATACGTATATACATGTACATGTATATACGTAAATGTTTTTCTTTGATAAATGCAAGTGATGAAAGGCGCCTTAGCAACTATATAACGATATATAATATCAGATTACTGTATGTGTTTAAGGTGAATAGAATGCAGGTGCTACGATAAATAAAAAGAAACTTCGATGTTAATGCAACTCACGCTTCGAATACATCTATGTGCGAGTTTGAATTGGGTATGATCAAACAAAATCCAAATTATTGAAGAATACGTATCGGTATATTTTTGATGAAGAAAATTGTAATCGGATGTATTTTGCATGCAATTATAAGAATTTAAATATTAAAGTATCGATTGGAATTAAATAAATCGTAGTCGATAATATACCGCCCCACCGCAATTTCTGTTAAATACGAGACTCAAATACAAAATTTCAAAGATTTAACAGTATTGATTTACACAATATCGATATCGATATCGAAATTTAATGAACCGAACGCGATCGGCTTTTCGCGAACAGCGAAGTGCATGATATCGCGATCGCGATCGGAGTCAATCCGCACGACGTCGGATCTGTCTACGCTTTGATACGACAAGATCTGCATCCTGTCTAGGTGCGGAGATGAAAAGTAAATGGATCCGATTAAATTTGACGAAATGAAACTACGAAATTGCTTTGGCCTATAATCATTTGCAAAATGACGAAACCATTAGCCAATTCAAAAATAGTTTAGTTAGGTATCTTTAGATCCGGTGCGACATTCCGACAATCACAATCCCATAAACCGACAAACGAAATCCCGAAAACACTGCATCCCGTGTTTTAATCGTGGCTTGTTTACTCCCCAAAATTTAGTATAACCCCTAATACAGTCAACTCTCACAGATCAATATATATATTACCAACATTTAGATCAGAGTTGTCGCTTGCATCGATGATCATGAATCACTCACATTCAAGCTAACGAATACAAGAACATCTACCAACACAGCCCAAATACATCTACTCGATTTGCTAATTAGGATCTACATCTTAATACATGTACAAGAGTCACAAGCCTCAATTTATAGCCAGATACACACATGTAGTGTTAAAGCTGACTAGAATGCGCCGACGCAGACTCGACTCGCTGAGTTAGCCGACCTAACTTTTTTCGATGCGACGCGTTTATCTTTCAAACGATTTCTAAATTTGGGAGTTTCTTAAAGCAATTTAGCTGGCTTAGCCACAGAAACGCTATATTTGATCTGCATTACATGATTGGGACAAATATAACCAATTAAAATTAAATATATGGAGCATGCTGCAACAAAACCAGACAAAGTGAACATTTTATTATGTGACATAAATGAGAGGCTGATTATGATGTGGCTGTAAAATTGACCAATGTGACTAATGACATTTTGAAAAGTAATATGGTGCTCATTCATAACTTATGGATTTGTTAACTTTAATGTTCACTTTATCATACCAGAATGTGATGAATATAAACCATAATA